TCTATAGTCTAGTCTATAGTCTAGTCTATAGTCTAGTCTATAGTCTAGTCTATAGTCTAGTCTATAGTCTAGTCTATAGTCTAGTCTATAGTCTAGTCTAGTCTAGTCTAGTCTAGTCTAGTCTATAGTCTAGTCTATAGTCTAGTCTATAGTCTAGTCTATAGTCTAGTCTATAGTCTAGTCTATAGTCTAGTCTATAGTCTAGTCTATAGTCTAAGTCTATAGTCTAGTCTATAGTCTAGTCTATAGTCTAGTCTATAGTCTAGTCTATAGTCTAGTCTATAGTCTAGTCTATAGTCTAGTCTATAGTCTAGTCTATAGTCTAGTCTATAGTCTAGTCTATAGTCTAGTCTATAGTCTAGTCTAAGTCTATTAGTCTAGTCTATAGTCTAGTCTATAGTCTAGTCTATAGTCTAGTCTATAGTCTAGTCTATAGTCTAGTTCTATAGTCTAGTCTACAGTCTAGTCTATAGTCTAGTCTATAGTCTAGTCTATAGTCTAGTCTATAGTCTAGTCTATAGTCTAGTTATAGTCTAATTCTATAGTCTAGTCTATAGTCTAGTCTATAGTCTAGTCTATAGTCTAGTCTATAGTCTAGTCTATAGTCTAGTCTATAGTCTAGTCTATAGTCTAGTCTTAGTCTAGTCTAGCAGTCTATAGTTTCTAGTCTATAGTCTAGTCTATAGTCTAGTCTATAGTCTAGTCTATAGTCTAGTCTATAGTCTAGTCTATAGTCTAGTCTATAGTCTAGTCTATAGTCTAGTCCTATAGTCTAGTCTATAGTCTAGTCTATAGTCTAGTCTATAGTCTAGTTAGTCTAGTCTATAGTCTAGTCTATAGTCTAGTCTATAGTCTAGTCTATAGTCTAGTCTATAGTCTAGTCCTATAGTCTAGTCTATAGTCTATCTATAGTCCTAGTCTATGGTCTAGTCTATAGTCTAGTGTATAGTTTAGTCTATAGTCTAGTCTATAGTTTAGTCTATAGTCTAGTCTATAGTCTAGTCTATAGTCTAGTCTATAGTCTAGTCTATAGTCTAGTCTATAGTTTAGTCTATAGTCTAGTCTATAGTCTAGTCTATAGTCTAGTCTACAGTCAAGTCTACAGTCTATTCTATAGTCTAGTCTATAGTCTAGTTTGTAGTATATTCTATGGTCTAAAGTCTAGTTTATATGCTAGTCTATATTCCAGTCTAAAACTGTTCAATCTTCAATTTAAACTAACATATTTCTTTGAGCTTAAAAACTGTAACTTTATTACCAAAAGAACAGTTATTCTAAATAAATCTACATACGGGTACTGCAGAGATAAAACAAAAAACCGGTAACTTTCACAAATAAATGCAAAAGAATAAGTAAATGTAGAGAGTTTGCATATAGAAGAGAATGTGAATGGAAGGGGACTGTGCGACATAAACTCCTGACATAATTGTCAGCATAAAGTTATACGATTTATAACAACAGCTTAGAATATAATAAATTAGTTATATACTATTAAGGCCTGTATTATAAACAAAAAGCAAAAACAATTAACCATCCTGTGATAAGAAAACAAAAGCAAAAGTAAAAGTCATCAAGAAGTATTTGTTTTTGTATGATTTGTATGGAAACATTAAAATTCACACTCTTTATTAAATGTTATCTCAGCTAAGTAATTATAATTATAATAATATAAAAATTATTTTAATAAAATAAATTTCAGTGATAAACTTTTGACTTCTTTCCGCCCAAAAAAATAAGCATAAGCAACAGGCATTAGAGGAATACAGCAAAGTCAAAGAGAGTAGGAAATAGAAAAGAGAGTGATACAAAATAACTGCTTTTTAAAAAAAGTATTTTAGGCAAAAGAGGTAATAAGCTAATGGAGGGTTAAAAGAGAAAACGACGTGATAAATGAATATTAGAACTACGAATGATAAATTGAGAACTAACTAACTAACTAACTACTACTAACTAACTAACTAACTAACTAACTAACTACTACTAACTAACTAACTAACTAACGAACTAACTACTAACTAACTAACTAACCTAACTAACTAACTACTAACTAACTAACTACTAACTAACTAACTAACTAACTAACTAACTAACTAACTAACTAACTAACTAACTAACTAACTAACTAACTAACTAACTAACTACACTACTAACTAACTAACTACTAACTAACTAACTAACTAACTAACTAACTAACTAACTAACTACTAACTAACTAACTAACTAACTAACTAACTACTAACTAACTAACTAACTAACTAACTAACTACTAACTAACTAACTAACTAACTAACTAACTAACTAACTAACTAACTAACTAACTAACTAACTAACTACTAACTAACTAACTAACTAACTAACTAACTAACTACTAACTAACTAACTAACTAACTAACTAACTAACTACTAACTAACTAACTAACTAACTAACTAACTAACTAACTAACTAACTAACTAACTAACTAACTAACTAACTAACTAACTAACTAACTAACTAACTAACTAACTAACTAACTAACTAACTAACTAACTAACTAACTAACTAACTAACTAACTACTAACTAACTAACTAACTAACTAACTAACTAACTAACTAACTAACTAACTAACTAACTAACTAACTAACTAACTAACTAACTAACTAACTACTAACTAACTAACTAACTAACTAACTAACTAACTAACTAACTAACTACTAACTAACTAACTAACTAACTAACTAACTAACTAACTAACTAACTAACTAACTAACTAACTAAACTAACTACTAACTAACTAACTACTAACTAACTAACTAACTAACTAACTAACTAACTAACTACTAACTAACTAACTAACTAACCTACTAACTAACTAACTAACTAACTACTAACTAACTAACTAACTAACTAACTAACTAACTAACTAACTAACTAACTAACTACTAACTAACTAACTAACTAACTAACTAACTAACTAACTAACTAACTAACTACTAACTAACTAACTAACTAACTATACTAACTAACTAACTAACTAACTAACTAACTAACTACTAACTAACTAACTAACTAACTAACTAACTAACGAACTAACTAACTACTAACGACTAACTAACTAACTAACTAACTAACTACTAACTAACTAACTAACTAACTAACTACTAACTAACTAACTAACTACTAACTAACTAACTAACTAACTACTAACTAACTAACTAACTAACTAACTAACTAACTAACTAACTAACTAACTAACTAACTAACTAACTAACTAACTAACTAACTAACTAACTAACTAACTAACTAACTACTAACTAACTACGAACTACTAACTAACTAACTATACTAACTACTAACTAACTAACTAACTAACTAACTAACTACTAACTAACTAACTACTAACTACTAACTAACTAACTAACTAACTAACTAACTAACTAAACTAACTAACTAGCTACTAACTAACTAACTAACTAACTAACTAACAACTAACTAACTAACTAACTAACTAACTAACTACTAACTACTAACTAACTAACTAACTAAACTAACTAACTAACTAACTAACTAACTAACTACTAACTAACTACTAACTAACTAACTAACTACTAACTAACTAACTAACTAACACTAACTAACTAACTAACTACTAACTACTAACTAACTAACTAACTAACTACCGTAACTAACTAACTAACTAACTAACTAACTACTAACTAACTACTAACTAACGAACTACTAACTAACTAACTAACTAACTAAACTAACTAATCTACTAACTAACTAACTAACTAACTAACTAAACTAACTAACTAACTAACTACTAACTAACTAACTAACTAACTAACTAACCTAACTAACTAACTAAACTAACTAACTAACTAACTAACTAACTAACTAACTAACTAACTAACTAACTAACTAACTAACTAACTAACTAACTAACTAACTAACTACTAACTAACTAACTAACTAACTAACGAACTAACTAACTAACTAACTAACTACTAACTACAACTAACTACTAACTAACTAACTAACTAACTAAGTACTACTAACTAACTACTAACTAACTGACTAACTAACTAACTACCTACCTAACTAACTAACTAACTAACTAACTACTAACTAACACTAACTAACTAACTAACTAACTAACTACTAACTACTAACTAACTAAACTAACTACTAACTACTAACTAACTAACTAACTAACTAACTAACTACTAACTACCTAACTACTAACTAACTAACTAACTAACTAACTAACTAACTAACTAACTAACTAACTCTAACTAACTAACTAACTAACTAACTACTAACTAACTACTAACTAACTAACTAACTAACTAACTACTACACTAACTAACTAACTAACTAACTAACTAACTAACTAACTAACTAACTAACTAACTACCTAACTAACTAACTAACTAACTAACTAACTAACTAACTAACTAACTAACTACACTAACTAACTACTAACTAACTAACTAACTAACTAACTACTAACTACTAACTAACTAACTAACTAACTAACTAACTAACTAACTACTAACTAACTAACTAACTAACTAACTAACTACTAACTAACTAACTAACTAACTAACTAACTAACTAACTACTAACTAACTAACTAACTAACTAACTAACTAACTACTAACTAACTAACTAACTAACTAACTAACTAACTAACTAACTACGTATGTAAGACTTGGGGTCAATATCACAAAAGTCTCTTTAAAGCCAGTTTCTTCTGCTCGTTTTACTCTTTACATTTGAGTAGAGTATTCTACTCGTTGTTGTTGTTTGCTTTTGCTTATAGGAAACCTGCTAATGTTTCTCTTCTTTGTATTCCGCTCATTAGTAAGGAGTTGTTGTTAGTGATTTTATGTTTGTTGTTATTAATTTTCATAAGCGATGAGTTATTGAGTATGTTGTTGTTGTTATTATTATTAATATTTATTGTTGATAGCGATAAAACATGTTGTCTTTTTGTTTGGTTTTATGATTGCAACAATCAGTCTTTAGACGAACGTTGTCTAGTACTTTTCGGTGGGTTGTGTTTTTGGACACCAAAAACTAATATTTGGGGGAATTTTTTTGTTTTTTGCTCCATTAAACTGTTTGTTTAGAGAAGAGATACAACAGCATTTGATACTTTTGTAAGAGAAAATAATAAAGACTTCGTGTTAGATACTTCGTTAATGCAGTTTTCGTTTGCTTGTAAAAAGAGATGTTGAGGTATTAAATGGGAGTGTGTGAGTGTTTCACTTGGCTGCAAGTGAGTGTAAGTGAGTGAGTGCGTTATTGTAATGTTGTTCGCGTGATTATGGTATTGTTCTGTTGCTTGGTTTTTATCTCCCGAAACGAAAAACGACAATTTGCAAAGAACATTGTCCGTTATCATCACATCATCACTTGAAAACATATTGGCTCTGTGGGTAAGAGTATATGTGAGTAACAGTGTTAATAGCTGGGTGTATGAGTGCGCGTGTATCTGTGAGTTGGGGCCTGTGTATCGCCGCTGATTTGCTGTTTTAAGGAATATTATGTTATTCATTTAGTTGCGCGCCGTCGTACGTTGGGGACGCACGCATTTCGTTTCTGTTTGTAAATAACGTGTAATTGGTGTGTGTTTTAGTTTTTTTTTAAAAGGATTTTTTTCTTTTGTCTGGCTAATAAACTTAAAACTTAAATTTATTTAAAAAAATACAAATAATAATAATTACTTTAATAAACTGTTAAGGATTTACGCGCGGTTTTGCTGGGGAAAGGGAACTTTATTACCAAAAGGATTTATCATTATTACACAAAAACGTGATAAGAAAATTGTGTTTTTTTCTGTTGACAACTACAACAAGAACATACATAATGTTGGAAAAAAAAAAGCGGAAATCGTGATCTAGTTAAATTTGTGGAAATTTATAAAAACAAAAGAGAAAAAAAAAATTGTGTTAAAGTTTTGATTTTTTTGTGTGACAAATTGAACTCAAAAAGGAGATGGATCAGATTTTTGTTTTGAATGAAAAAGTAAATGAAAGGATAATAAAGTGAAAAAAAAATTTTAAAAATATTAAGAAAAGTTTAAAAACTTAAAGATTTGAAAACAAAATCGAGATTTTCAAATTTAAAGAAATTTTAGGAATTTTGAAAAAAGTAAAAAAACAAAAATTTGAGAAAAATTTTTATAAAATTTGAGAAAAATTTTTATAAAATTTGAGAAAAATTTTAATAAAATTTGAGAAAAATTTTTATAAAATTTAAAAATTAGAAATTTTTTAAAAAGAGTATTCAAATAAAAAATTTTAATTGAATTAAATTCTTTAACTTAAAAAAAGGTGCTTTCTTTGGATATTTAAAAAAAAAAACATTTTAAACAAAATTTTGAAATATTTTAAACAAAATTTGGAAATTTTTCGAAAAATTTTAAAATTATTTTTTTTTAAGAAATGATAAATTTTAAATACAATAGATTGGATTTTATGAAAATTTAGTTAAAAATTTGTTAAATAGTTCGAAATTATCGATTTTTGTAAAAATTAAATTTTGAAAATTTTTCAAAAATTTTATTTTTTTTAAATTATAAATTTTTTTAATTTTTTTTTTATTTACAAGAATTTCAAATATTGGTTACAAATGTTTAAAATTTTTTTAAAAAATTTTGATTTTTTAAAATTTTGAAATTTGAAAAAAATTGATTTTTTTAAATTTTTCTTTTCAAAATTTTTAATTTTTTGTTAAAATTTTACAAAGTAAGAAAAAATTTCCCTCAAATTTAAAATTCTTTAAAATTTTTGAAAACGTTTTAAAATCCTTAAAAATAGAAATTTTCCAAAAAGTACCAAAAAAAGTACATTTTTTAAAAGTGTTAAAAATGCTTAAATTTTATAAAAATTACTTTAAATTCCTTCAGAATCTTTAAAATTTCCGAAAATGCTTTAAAATTTATGAAAATAGAAATTTTCCAAAAAGTACCAAAAAAGTACTTTTTTGAAAAAGTGTTAAAAATGCTAAAATTCTATGAAAATTACTTTAAATTGCTTCAATTTCTTTAAAATTTGCGAAACTGCTTTAAAATTCATGAAAATAGAAATTTTCAAAAAAAGTACCACAAAAGTACTTTTTTGAAAAAGTGTTAAAAATGCTTAAATTTTATAAAAAATACTTCAAATTACTTCAAGTTCTTAAAAATTTGCGAAAATGCTTTAAAATTCATTAACATAGAAATTTTCCAAAAAGTACCAAAACAAGTACTTATTTGAAAAAGTGTTAGAAATGCTAAAATTTTATAAAACATACTTTAATTTCCTTTTAAATACGCTAAAACTTCAAAATTGCTTAAAATTAAAATTTTTCAAAAAGTACCAAAAAAATACATTTTTAAAAAAAGTATCAATACTTTTTAAAAAAGTATCAAAATAACTAAAATTTTATAAAAAATTATTACAATTTCCCATAAAATTCAACAAAACCATTTAAATTCTCAAAACTAAAACTAGTAAACTTTAAAAATGTTCAAAAATCTTTATTTTTCCAAAAAGTACCAAACAAAGTACTTTTTGAAAAAAGTTGAAATTTTATTAGAATGCTTCAAATTTCTGGAAAATTACTCTAGATGAAGCATAAAAATTTGAAAAATTAAATTTTTTTTTAAAAAATAAGCAAAAAGTACTATTTTTCTAAAAAGTAACAAAAAAGTGCTAAAAATGCTAAAATTTTATAAAATTCGGTTTAATTTCCCATTAAAAACAAGAATAGCCTAAAATAGTAATTTTTCAAAAAGTACCGAAAAAAGTACTTTTTTAAAAAAAGTTAAAATTTTATGAAAATTATTAAAATTTTTGAAAAACCAATAGAAAATGCTTCAACAAGCAAAAAAACACAATTTTTCAAAAAGTACCAAAAAAGTACTTTTTTCTAAAAAAAAAAAATTTAAAGCAATTTTAACACTTTTTCATAAAACTTAAGACTTTGGAAGCCTTTCTTAAACTTTTATTACCTTTAACACTAAGAATAAGATCCATTTATCTCCTTATAAACGCAAACTTACACTCTCTACTCTCTTTATATATAAATACCTTAAACTCTCTTTAACATAAACCAGACTTTAAATGACAAAATCGCGCGTTTCCTATAAACGGTTTCAAATTAAATTTGCTGACTCTTCTGAAATTTACTTTATAAATATATATTTTTTTTTGAAACAAAAAAAGTGCAGTGAACAAAAGCTAACAAAAAAAGAAAATTTATACAAAAATTGTCATAATAAATTGTTATTGTTTCTCTTTTTCTTTCCTTACAGTTTGTTTACAACTAGAAAAGTGCTAAAACAGTGTTAAAAATAGTATAAATTCAAATAAAAAAAATTAAACAAATTTCATCTAAAAAACAGTTTTGAGGAAAAAAACCAACGCTCAGCGTTTGTTTTTTTTTAAGTTCAACCCTTTTTTGTTTGGTTTAATTTCGTTAAAGTAAAACAAAACATGGGTACGTCTACGGATCGTATGCCCATGGGTAAAATGAGGCGTAACATGTCATTAATGTGGAAATTATTGGCAATTATTGTGATAATACAAGCAAGTGGAATAAGTGCTAAGGTAAGTGTGAAAAATTTTCTTAAAAATCGTTTTTAAACTATTGAAAATTTGGCATAAATTCATTTTTTTGGATATTAGTAGTAGATTTTTTAGGGGTTTTAGTAGTTTTAGAGACAAATAGTGCAAAATAGCTTTTTATAAAATGTTAATTTTCCTTTAATATGTTTAGCCTCAGTGTTAAAATGAAGTTTTTTTTTTAAGTTTAAGTATTTGAAAAAATGTAGTATTTCTACTACTATTTTTAAAAAGGTAATTTTTTAGTTTTCCTGTCAAATTTAAAGCTAAATATTGTATGATTTACCAAAAATTATGATTTTCGGACCTCCTTCCTAAAAAAATAGTAGTATTTTTACTACATTTTTATTTTCTTTAAAATGTTTAGTTTATAAGTCTTAAAATTTAGTTTTTAAAGTATTAAAGCATTTAAATAAGTAGTATTTTATCAATATCTTTAAAGATGTTTCTAGTTCAGTTCTGGTTCAGTTTAGTTCAGTTCTAGTTCAGTTCTAGTTCAGTTCTAGTCATTCTAGTTCACCAGTTCTAGTTCAGTGGTTCAGTAGGTTCAGTTCCTAGTTCAGTCTAGTTCAGTCAGTTCAGTTCTAGTTCAGTTCTCTAGTTCCAGTTCTAGTTCAGTTCGAGTTCAGTTCTAGTTCAGTTCTAGTCAGTTCTAGTTCATCTAGTTCAGTTCTAGTTTCAGTCTAGTTCAGTCTAGTTCAGTTCTAGTTCAGTTCTAGGTCAGTTATAGTTCAGTTCTAGTTCAGTTCTAGTTCAGTTCTAGTTCAGTTCTAGTTCAGTTCTAGTTCAGTTCTAGTTCAGTTCTAGTTCAGTTCTAGTTCAGTTCTAGTTCAGTTTTAGTTCAGTTCCAGTTCAGTTCTAGTTCAGTTCTAGTTCAGTTCTAATTCAGTTCTAGTTCAGTTCTAGTTCAGTTCTAGTTCAGTTCTAGTTCAGTTCTAGTTCAGTTCTAGTTCAGTTCTAGTTCAGTTCTAGTTCAGTTCTAGTTCAGTTCTAGTTCAGTTCTAGTTCAGTTCTAGTTCAGTTCTAGTTCAGTTCTAGTTCAGTTCTAGTTCAGTTCTAGTTCAGTTCTAGTTCAGTTCTAGTTCAGTTCTAGTTCAGTTCTAGTTCAGTTCTAGTTCAGTTCTAGTTCAGTTCTAGTTCAGTTCTAGTTCAGTTCTAGTTCAGTTCTAGTTCAGTTCTAGTTCAGTTCTAGTTCAGTTCTAGTTCAGTTCTAGTTCAGTTCTAGTTCAGTTCTAGTTCAGTTCTAGTTCAGTTCCTAGTTCAGTTCTAGTTCTAGTTCAGTTCTAGTTCAGTTCTAGTTCATTCTAGTTCAGTTCTAGTTCTAGTTCGAGTTCAGTCTAGTTCACTTCTAGTTCAGTTCTAGTTCAGTTATAGTAGCAGTTCTAGTACAGTTCTAGTTCAGTTCTAGTTCAGTTCTAGTTCAGTTCTGTTCAGTTCTAGTTCAGTTCTAGTTCAGTTCTAGTTCAGTTCTAGTTCAGTTCTAGTTCAGTTCTAGTTCAGTTCTAGTTCAGTTCTAGTTCAGTTCTAGTTCAGTTCTAGTTCAGTTCTAGTTCCTAGTTCTAGTTCTGTTCTAGTTCAGTTCTAGTGCTGTTCTAGTTCATTCTAGTTCGTTCTAGTCGTTCTAGTTCTTTCTAGTTCTGTTCTAGTTCTGTTCTAGTTCTGTTCTAGTTCTGTTCTAGTTCTGTTCTAGTTCTGTTCTAGTTCTGTTCGAGTTCTGTTCAGTTCTGTTCTAGTTCTGTTCTAGTTCTGTTCTAGTTCTGTTCTAGTTCTGTTCTAGTTCTGTTCTAGTTCTGTTCTAGTTCTGTTCAGTTCTGTTCTAGTTCTGTTCTAGTTCTGTTCTAGTTCTGTTCTAGTTCTGTTCTAGTTCTGTTCTAGTTCTGTTCTAGTTCTGTTCTAGTTCTGTTCTAGTTCTGTTCTAGTTCTGTTCTAGTTCTGTTCTAGTTCTGTTCTAGTTCTGTTCTAGTTCTGTTCTAGTTCTGTTCTAGTTCTGTTCTAGTTCTGTTCTAGTTCTGTTCTAGTTCTGTTCTAGTTCTGTTCTAGTTCTGTTCTAGTTCTGTCTAGTTCTGTTCTAGTTCTGTTCTAGTTCTGTTCTAGTTCTGTTCTAGTTCTGTTCTAGTTCTGTTCTAGTTCTGTTCTAGTTCTGTTCTAGTTCTAGTTCTGTTCTAGTTCTGTTCTAGTTCTGTTCTAGTTCTGTTCTAGTTCTGTTCTAGTTGTTCTAGTTCTGTCTAGTTCTGTTCTAGTTCTGTTCTAGTTCTAGTTCTGTTCTAGTTCTGTTCTAGTTTCTGTTCTAGTTCTGTTCTAGTTCTGTTCTAGTTCTGTTCTAGTTCTGTTCTAGTTCTGTTCTAGTTCTGTTCTAGTTCTGTTCTAGTTCTGTTCTAGTTCTGTTCTAGTTCTGTTCTAGTTCTGTTCTAGTTCTGTTCTAGTTCTGTTCTAGTTCTGTTCTAGTTCTGTTCTAGTTCTGTTCTAGTTTCTGTTCTAGTTCTGTTCTAGTTCTGTTCTAGTTCTGTTCTAGTTCTGTTCTAGTTCTGTTCTGGTTCTGTTCTAGTTCTAGTTCTGTTCTAGTTCAGTTCTTATGAATCTATGTAAATATTCGGAATTTAGGCAACGTTAAATAAAAATAGTAGTAGATTCCTACTACTATTTTATTTTTCTTAAAAAAATTTAAAATTTTTATATTAAAAATCATTAAATTTGCAATTTCCCTAAAATAGTTTGTCAAATAGTAGTAGATTTCTACTGCTTTTATTTCTTCTTGAAAATAGTGAATTTTGAGCATTTTCGGTAACAAATTTTAGATTTATCTTTATGAGAGTAATAATTTGCCCGTTTTTCGTCACTATTGGTTTGTTAAAAGCTTTTTTCCATTTGTCTGTTCATGCTTATCAAAAAAAAAGTTAAAAAAAAACCGAAAATTACGTAAATTTTATTATTGTTTAGTATTAAAAAATTTACTTTGAAATGATTACAAAGTTTCTTAAATAGTTAAATGCTTTTTGTGGACTAGATTAAAAGTTTTGATAACAAAACATAATTATAATTTAATTTACTGTGTTGCAAAATATATTATTTTTTTTAAATATTAATAGCTTTTCTGTAGGAAAACAGGAACTATTTAAGAGTTTTTTTGAAAAAACAAGAAGAGATATGACAAGATGCTGATTTTTAAATCCGTATCTGTTTTTTTAAAAATGGTTTTTAATTGAAATGAAATTGAAAATATTGTTGTGGCACAGGAGGAGCAGAGATTAAATTATGATTTTTTTTCTGTAGTCACTGCTGTCAGTTACGTTTTTGGCGGCATTGACACATTTCTTAGGAAACAAAAAAAGGTTATCGCTTGTTATTATATTTTAAAAGAAGAGATCAGCTTATATAGTATAATAATTATTTTTCATAATTGAAATTAAAAATAACAACAAATATGTATGAAATTATAAGAAATAAAAAACAAATGTTTGCTTAATGTGTGCAAATACATTAAAGATAACCCAGTGAATCTGTCCAGCAGAAAACGTGGAGAATATTATTTGCTGTTTAAAGAAAAACTACTTTTTTATTCTATTCACTCAGTTTTAGTTCTATTCTAGTTCTGTTCTAGTTCTGTTCTAGTTCTGTTCTAGTTCTGTTCTAGTTCTGTTCTAGTTCTATTCTAGTTCTGTTCTAGTTCTGTTCTAGTTCTGTTCTAGTTCTGTTCTAGTTCTGTTCTAGTTCTGTTCTAGTTCTGTTCTAGCTCTGTTCTAGTTCTGTTCTAGTTCTGTTCTAGTTCTGTTCTAGTTCTGTTCTAGTTCTGTTCTAGTTCTGTTCTAGTTCTGTTCTAGTTCTGTTCTAGTTCTGTTCTAGTTCTGTTCTAGTTCTGTTCTAGTTCTGTTCTAGTTCTGTTCTAGTTCTGTTCTAGTTCTGTTCTAGTTCTGTTCTAGTTCTGTTCTAGTTCTGTTCTAGTTCTGTTCTAGTTCTGTTCTAGTTCTGTTCTAGTTCTGTTCTAGTTCTGTTCTAGTTCTGTTCTAGTTCTGTTCTAGTTCTGTTCTAGTTCTGTTCTAGTTCTGTTCTAGTTCTGTTCTAGTTCTGTTCTAGTTCTGTTCTAGTTCTGTTCTAGTTCTGTTCTAGTTCTGTTCTAGTTCTGTTCTAGTTCTGTTCTAGTTCTGTTCTAGTTCTGTTCTAGTTCTGTTCTAGTTCTGTTCTAGTTCTGTTCTAGTTCTGTTCTAGTTCTGTTCTAGTTCTGTTCTAGTTCTGTTCTAGTTCTGTTCTAGTCTGTTCTAGTTCTGTTCTAGTTCTGTTCTAGTTCTGGTTCTAGTTCTGTTCTAGTTCGTTCTAGTTCAGTTCTAGTTCTGTTCTAGTTCTGTTCTAGTTCTGTTCTAGTTCTGTCTAGTTCTGTTCTAGTTCTGTTCTAAGTTCTGTTCTAGTTCTGTTCTAGTTCTGTTCTGTTCTAGTTCTGTTCTAGTTCTGTTCTAGTTCTAGGTCTGTTCTAGTTCTGTTCTAGTTCTGTTCTAGTTCTGTTCTAGTTCTGTTTTAGTTCTGTTTTAGTTCTGTTCTAGTTCTGTTCTAGTTCTATTCTAGTTCTGATTCTAGTTTTCTGTTCTAGTTCTGTTCTAGTTCTGTTCTAGTTCTGTTCTAGTTCTGTTCTAGTTCTGTTCTAGTTCTGTTCTAGTTCTGTTCTAGTTCTGTTCTAGTTCTTTCTAGTTCTGTTTCTAGTTCTGTGCTAGTTCTGTTCTAGTTCTAGTTCTGTTCTAGTTCTGTTCTAGTTCTGTTCTGTTAGTTGTTCTGTTCTGTTCTAGTTCTGTTCTAGTTCTGTTTCTGTTCTAGTTCTGTTCTAGTTCTGTTCTAGTTCTGTTCTAGTTCTGTTCTAGTTCTGTTCTAGTTCTGTTCTAGTTCTGTTCTAGTTCTGTTCTAGTTCTGTTCTAGTTCTGTATCTAGTTCTGTTCTAGTTCTGTTCTAGTTCTGTTCTAGTTCTGTTCTAGTTCTGTTCTAGTTCTGTTCTAGTTCTGTTC